GTGTTATTAGTATTATTTTTTAATTCTTGACTTTTAATAACAAAGGCCGTATTGAATATAGGGTTCCATTTTTATTCTGCGGCTACCGCACGAAACAGGTTGCATTACATGACGTGATGAAACAATAGTTCAAGGTGAATGTAGACGGGAAATTGTTTAGGAATGAAGGTCCGCCGAATCGGCGACTGTGACGTCTGATATCGGCAACGAAGTCTTGCAGCCGGGAGTATGCAGAGGCGGGCCTAGGTCGTTGATCCCTCGTGGTTGCACTTTTGCCCTCGCCCCTCTTGTTTGCAGCGATCCCGATGACCCCCGAGCCTATGTTACTCAGGCAAATAGCATAAATGTTATTGTTCCTTAGAAAAAATACATATCTAACAAATTGATAGAAAAATAACAATAAAAAGAAACTCTTAGTTATTATCGATCACAGAAGTAGCACAATCAGTGTCCAACTCCAAAATAATATTGATTCGTCACAAATATTTTGTGCGGTAATTGTATTACGATGTACTTTTGTTAAAGGTTTTGTTTTTAAATTAGATTAAATGTTGGTATTAATTAAAATTTTAATTTTAAATTGTGATTTGTTGTAGATTTTTGAACAGAAACATTCGGTGCCACGGGACTTTGTTCATATCTCTACAAAAATCACATTTTAAAGTTTAATCTTGAGTGCAGACTAGCACTAAAAGTGAAAAAAAAATTCTAAACTTTAATGGTAAACCTATGACTGGTCATTTGAAGATTTGAGCTTGATTATTTTTTGGGATAAATTGTTATTACACACCGTGATGTTGTTTGTTATTACATTATCAAGAAAGGTTTTAAATTTAAATGTACCTACCTAAAAACCATATTTGAAAGTTACATGTATATGTTAATTTTGTTTCACTCTTGGAAACCTTTGTTTTAACTTGGCATGGCAGAACTTTGAAACCAGTTTCGGTAACTGAATTTACCGGCACAGAATACCGTTTCAATTGTTCATTTTACAAATTCTAAAGTCGAGTTTATGCAATGGCCGAGTAAGTTTTTATAATATGGAATTACTTAAAATGTTAAACGCACAACAATAATCCAGACTTGATATTGTGGGTTCAGTATACCATTGCTTTTTACTTTTTATCATTTCTTGTATTCAAAAACAAGAATGCTCCATACGTGAGAGCTCATATTGTTCTTTAATCTTATAAAGCAAAGTATAATGGCCAAAATTTTTATGTTATTTAGGTCCTTTGACTAATAACTTTTAGGAGCAATAGTTACGAATGTCTGTCTACATTGTTACGAATTAAAGTTGTAATACCTGAAAGAAATATACTTACACGGTATCACGGATCATTCTTGAATGCTCTATGTTAATAGTGTGCCCAAAAAAAACGTGAGTATGTATATAGTCCTTCAAGCGTGAATGATGTTGAACTTGAGAAAAGTATTTTATCGACCATTATGGAATAAGTACGTTTTAGTTTAAAAAAAAAAAAGAAGTTTTATGTAAAAATATGAATACATAAGGATAGTTTGAAGAACGATGAATGAACCATATCTTTTCGATTTTGTTTTAATTTAGTAATAAACAACTTCGGAAGCTCACTATCAAATTGATTAAGCTTTATTAATATTCACCATGACTCGAACGACTGACGACTGTTGAAGTAGGTTAGAAGGATACCGTTTTATAGCATTCACCATGGACAATTCGAGCGTACACAACAAGTGTCAACATCGTTTGCGTGCGTTGATCGACGTCCGTCGTGGAAATCGGAATGATATTGCTCTGACACAGATTTTGATTGTGATGTAAACTTTTCGTAACGTATATATGACCTATGGATGTGCTGTTTGTAGTACAAGATGAAACCTTATCTTGTCTGCAATGGATGGATTCTCGAATTTTCGAATTGCTTACTGTGGCTGTAGTGTTTATGCTAATGAAAGTCTGCGCATGCATATATCGCTACGTTGTGCTCTCGCCCACACCCTTCACTTCTCGCTATTATTGTTACTTATCGTCGTTTGTTGATTACGCATAGGTTGCACGCAATAGAGGTTTTATCGATAACAGATAAAATAAACATTGGAGAATCTCTAAATAAAAGTGAAAATAGCCGAACGGTAATCTATAAACATGAAATAGGTAGGACTACAACATACAATATAGTCTTTTGTCCGATAAGCGAAGTTACCGGGAAGGGTCCCGTTCCAAAAGGTAGTCGGATAAATGCTTGTCTCTTCTGGTAATCTAATAGCCCAAGCAAATAGCGATTTTGCGTGTAACAGCTCAATATCGTCAGATTAACTTAAAAAAAAGTCAATTTCAGTCAAATTGTTAAAATTAATTAAATTAGTACTTTGGCATGCAGTCTCCAATCAATCAACCTTATGATTATAATAAAACACATTTTTCTCATGTGAAAAGTACCGCACAAAATGAAATTATGAAAACCTACTCAAGGTGATGTAACTTTTACTCCCATATAAAGTTGGTAATCGCAAATTTGTGCTGCATTCTCGCTTTTAGACGCACATTACGATGGGCGCAACTCAACATATTAGCGTCGCGTGTGAGAATCTCAGACGTACTCATGTATTTTTCACATCTTTGAGATTACAACAGTATTATTATAATTTACGACTCTCTCTTTCTATAAGTTCGTCTAAATTTGACGGATTTAGAACATTGTGTTATTTAAAGTATATCTCATTGATTGCCTGGTTGTAATTTGAATTTATTATTATCTATAACATATTTATCACATTAACATATACGTTTAACATATACATTACATAAGCGTTTTAAGATTTATATAACTTGAAGAAAGCTGCCAAGCTTGTCAACTTTCGATACAAATCAGGTACGATAGTATGTTACGATTTGCATAGTGCCGAATGGTACGATACTGGTCAGGATGATTTTCCAGTAACATTACAATAATATTGACGGTTGATATGAAAGTAGTTTAAGACTGAAAATTCGTAAGTGATCGATGGGTTCTGTTCCCTTTCGGTTTCTAACTTATGTTAAGTTCTTCTATTTCTATAGTAATGGAATATGAGTTATGCCTTATTACCAACAGATTCATTCCTGATTATTCTGGAATGGGTCATAGAAACGCAACTTAAAATAGATATGATTTTTTTTACTGTATGAGTATTAATAAAACTATTTTCATTGGTTGCCTTGTTTGTGACGTCGATGCGGTTTCTACATATGACAAAAAATGTCCATTATCCAAAAAAATTATATGAGAAATTGTTATAGGCTTACGCCCAGTTTCTGAAATCCTGATTATTGTAGAAGTTAACTAATAGCTGATTAGTTAACTTCTACAAACTTATACAAAATTGTCAAATGGCTTTTCAAATGTTATTTGAGTTGCCAAAAGGATTGTTAAACACTCGGAATTGATCAAAATGATCTTCTTAAGATCAGAAAGTACAAGGTGCAAAAGCTATGTAACTTGTTTAAAATATCATATAACATTTAATAAGCAACAAACTCAATATATTTCTTTCAATATAAATTAATTTACTCATAGAGCAACTGCCATTACGAACGGTTACGGGCATTTTATGGGCATGTATGTCGAGAACGCAGAGTTCGGAGTAAATCTTACTAATTTACATTAATTATGAACCAAAAATTGAGAAAAGATCATGACATACTTTAATAAAACATTTAAGTTATTTAATATTATAAGTAAAGTTAGAGAAAGTAAAAATTAATCAAAAAAAATATTTTTTTTTTATTTGAAACTTAGTAGGTGTTCGAACGACACTTCTCTGATGGTCTAATTCAAGTTTACAACCAAATGTACATTAAATATATATATATATATATATATAGCGTGTCGTTACCGGCGACAATAAAGGCCCATTTACACGGTGCCAGTTTCTTGCCTGTTGTATACAATTAAATTGAAGCAATAAATGAGTTGCATGGTCTAAACAATTATTGCGCGCAATTTATTGCATTCAATTATTGCTCTTGTATGTTCAAGAAAATGGCATCGTGTAAATGGGCCTTAAGAAATGGCGAAATCTCTGGTTCGAATTATCGTTGTAAAACGATATTCGAAATTGTTTATATGCTGGAAAGGATATAACAATAGACGCGCCAAGCATTGCTTCAAATGCTAAATAACAATGTAGAAAGAAGGCGTAAAGATTTTCGTCACTGTGGCCATCAGCCGTTTAGCTCAGAGGCTAGAGCGTCAGGCCGCAAATTCCGAAGACGTGGGTTCGATTCCCACAGCGGCGACAATCTTTTCGTACTTTTTCTACATGTTATATTAATTATACATTTATGTTAAAAAAAGGTAATAGTATCAAATATAATATTACATTTATTAACTATATTTTCATCGTATTTAAAAAGAACTTGCGTTGTGACTAATTAGTAACTAATTGTTGGAAGAAACGTATACGTTTCGTTACATCATAAACTAAAAGTTCACCACAACTTTCTTTTATACATTTTCTTATTGTTTATTGTTTGTTACTCTTGGCTTCATTGTTGTTTCTGTTTTATTAAGTCACTTATGTCGGTTTAGTAACTAAATCTTCTAATTAAGCACTTGGTTAAATAACACATCACATTTTTATTACAATCCATTCAATCGCTTACTATATGTAAGCAATTGAATAGATTATAGAAGTTGAAAGAATCATTTTTTATTTTGTTATAATTGTCCTCAACTTTTTTAATTTGTTTTTTACCTATCATTATTTTTAAAAAAATTGTGTACATATAACAATAGAAAAATAAATAAAAATGTATCCCCTGTGCCAGTAATATTGTTGAAAAGACCTTAAATACAATTTATAACGGTTTAATTTAATAACTTGAAAACCCTAAAACCCTCTGTACGGAGGAGGCCGTGGCCCAGTCGTGAGACATAAATATAAGGTGTTACTTTACTTCTTAATTTTATTTTATTTTTAAACATAACGGTTTTTGGTAAAGCCTAAAGCGCCCATTCCCTTTCAGCCGCGCGATGTATTCCGCATCAACGGCGTCGACCACTACTTCGGGATCTCGTGGCGATGCCGCAGTAGTGTCGTCAGAGCGACGAGTTCGCGTCGTGCGCTTGCTGCGACCACGCCGCGCGGCCCCAGCCTTCGGATTCTCGTTGCGCGGAGGCCGGGAGTATTCTACGGGTTTCTTCGTGTCGAAGGTCGACTTGAACTCCGAAGCCCACCTCCAGGGATTGAAGGTTTGTGATTTTGTTTATTTAAACTTAAAGCCGTGATAGCTCATTGTCCGGGCGCTCGCCTTTAATTTCGTCTCGAAAAATCTGAGTTCAATATCCGGTGCCGGTACCAATGAAATTGTTAGTTTTAAGTGCTAACATATCACGTGCTCAGCGGTGAAGGAAAGAATCGTGAGGAAACCTGTAATTTAGAAAGAATAAAAAAAATATTTCTAAGATATGTGAAGTCCGCCAGTCCGCAGTGGGGTCGCGTGGTGGACTATTCCCTAATACCCTCTCCTCTGTACAGAGGAGGTCTATATAAAGGCTGTTCGTACTTTAATTCAATTTCAATTTCAAGGGAAAGATGATGCTCTTCAGGATTGTTGATAGTTGCTGGCGGTGGTTCTTTTTGTGATAAACCTGGCAAAATGATTTTCAGTGAATTCCTCACGTACGAAATCTAGGAAAAAACGCGTGGTTGATTTCGTAGTGCATGCTATACGGACTTACATCCTTGATGAATTCAACTTGACAGCCATTTCTTAACTGTAAACAATATTTAAATTTCATCATGTCCGTTTCTGAGCTATAATATCAGTTGAACTTTCACTTTTTTAGGCAATGCGTACATGTCTAATTTCACTAACTATTTGAATAACACTGTTATTGATTCTACCCACATGCTGGCAAGCAAAAACAGAATTTTTTTCTTCACTTTTATTGGAATATCGTAATTTTTATCATAACATGCGACTGTATTGTTTCAACAACATTTCTCCACATAATTTTTAAGTTTTCTCTGAAAATAAAGTATTGTAATTCTTTTTATAGAATAAACTTATACGAAGCACAGATTAGGGGGTATATTATAAAATAAATATATTTGTCACGTACTATTTATTTAATTAGGATCCAAAATGACAAGGATTTATTCTAGAAATTCTGAAGCTATTACTAACTCTCTATTAATTTACCATTTGGGGGGCCATGATGGGCCGCTTTCTCGTTAGCCGACTACTTGATAAATATGAAATTTTTAAACGACTCAAATGACAACACGAACTGATAATGTACTCTTTATTATTTAGTGCCTTGAACGTTCTTGTAAACGACGTCAACGCAACGCGAATTTATCTGCAATCCACGCTACGAAATGAATTGCACCATTGACGGCGATCCCACCTTGTACGAGTACGTCGGTTCGGCACTCGCTTAGCCGGGTTCTTGCTCAATTTTTTACGTAGCGGCGTTCAATAGGGCATTATCTCATTGTCTTCTGTCTGCTGTGCGTATGTTTGATCGTAGAGAAAATTGATTCTCTGCCGGCGACAGGTTATGCGTTGCGAAACCGCCTACGTCGGCCGATGGTCCCACAGCTGGTCTTGTGCGAACGTAGACAATTAGCTGCGCGGCCGGCCCGGCTTCACAATTGCTCGGGTCCGAGGTTGTTTTCGCAAACGCATTCCATTCTTCTATTCTTTGTGGCGATCACGTAACACCACTGTTTCTTTTTAAACTGCAGGTGCTGGGAGGTGTTGACTTCGATCTAGATGTAAAAGCAGTATGGGACTTCTTATCATAGCCCTTAGGCTCGAATTATTGTTAACATAAATTACTTAAAACTTAAATTAGTACGTAACTAAATAGCTTAAATAAGTTAATACGAAAATGAAATAATTTCATGCTTTTTAATTCGCTGGTAATGGTTAAAACAATAGCCTGCGATCAAATATTTTATACGAAAAAACTATCATTGGCTGCGATATTGGCGCGGAAACATTAATTAGGAATATGAAGCATATGAGTAAATTCTGATCACGCGAAACCTCTTAGCTTGTATAATTTCTATCACATATAGGGACAATATTATGTATGAGTAATATCGATAAAAATTAACCCAAGTTTTATTTAGAGTGAAATCACCAGTCGGCAGCCGCTTTAGTTGGTTGCTCCATTTAGGTCGCATTTCTCTTGACGTTTTGCGTTTCTTTAATTGTAACTTGTAACTGGCTCTTGCATAATACATCTTGATAACACAAGGGTGCAAGCCTAATGAACATTTGTAAATTAATCATTGCGATGCTTGTCCGACCAAGAGTTGCTGTAATCTATTGAACGAGTTCGTTTTGTTAGTTGAGTAACCGCAATTATTTCTCTATTGTAAACCATTAACACAGTTCGACCCAAATGGAGCGGCTGCGGAGAAAAGGATAAAGTTATTTTTCATTATAAATACACTATGAACACGTAATTATGTATTTGACAGGTTGCATTTAAATTTGGTTATTCACAAATGGATCAGAAAGACAAAGGAATTCGAGAAACTTTATTAACAATTATTACAGATTAATGCTACAGATTTAGAAACTAAAGGTATTAGTTTACTAGCGGTATGTTAGTACGCCACATTTATTCATTATCGAACTGAAACCGTTGGAAGATTATTAAAAGAGTGAACTACGAAAAAATCTTGTATTTATCGTAAAACAAGGGACAGAAAAAAAATCATTTAACTAAATGACCATGCTGAAAAAAAAATCAGCGCAAAGAAACTGCCATCTCGTTACAATCAAACAGTCATAATTGTGGCAATCGCCTACTGAATTAAAATTTGCAGCCGCGCAGTTCAATTTTCGCATAATTACTTCCTAACAATGAGGTTACGAAAACTCACGAGTACATCCGTTATTCATACGGCAGGCACAATACCCAGTTCGGCTCACAAGAAATCTTGGGAAGTCGATTAAGTTATAAAACTTATTCGTGCATTTGTCACTTTTTACTTTGTGACATTTTACAATTTTCATTTAATTACAGTGAGTTTCATTTTATTGGTATGTTTCTATTTCCTTGTTCATCTGACTTAATCTGCTTTGATCGATTGTCTATAATAATAATACGGGGTAAATTTTGACAAATTTTCCTATATGCTTACACTTTAACGGAGCCGTCGAACTTATATACTTATATTATAAATTGTTAACCCTATTTTTACTACCAAATTAAATTTCAATTAAACAAATACTATGTTGTTATTTCCCGACAGAACGTTGTTGTTTTGTAATTTCCACATTTCCTGCAAAAATTGTTCTATCTGTAATTAGGAGAGACGAGCAAGTCTATTATTCGACATGTTGATTATGTTTAGCTAATACACATAAAAGGTTAACTAATAGACATAATGTTATTGTAATAATACTATTTGTTGAACGAAAAATAGCATAATTCACTTATTTAATTATTATTATTTAATGTTATCTGCTATATTCATTTATATCAAGATATTATTATAATATTCCCATTCTTATCAATGGCTTTTATAAATTAGATTTTATATATATATAATAAATATATTATGTATATTGATATTATTTATAAGTTATTATGTTTCACTGATTTATTTATTAGTATAATTATACAATATAAAATAACGTATTTCTAAATCTTACTTATCACATCATATTACAAAAAACATACTATTTATTCATTATCTAAATGTGATTACTCCTTTAACAAATAACTCTTTGTTTAATGATTACTCTTTAAACATATAACTATTTGTTTATGGAGAAAACACATTTATCACTATTGAGACTTCGTAATGTCGTGATTCTTCTAGATAGAGTGATTGAAGGAAGGTTTATATGTATAATAAATTGCACCCGTGCGAAGTTGGGGCGGGTCGCTAGTTACATATAAATCGTATAAAAATTGCACAAGTCATATAAATTTTCATATCGTCATATTAATTTTCGTTCCCTCGGTCACACGGTAAGGTAATACTCAGTGCAAAAATAACAGCGTAGATATAATATTTCAAATGGACATTTCATACGCGTCAACGCCCCAAGTAAACGGAAGCGTTTAAACCCGCCATGACATTAGTCGAGAGAAAATGTTGACGCCGTAGGTGATACGATTTAGAGGAAATAGTCGAGCGCCTGAACGGAGCTAAACACAGGAAGGGCGCGAGCGGCGAGCAATTACACGACGATTTAGAAATAGCTCAGGCTCTCGAGAGGCTCCGCGTGAGTCACTCAATTACCTCCGCTGCTGGTCAGTCGGCGACTTTCTACCGCTCGGAGAGCGTGTGAGCCACTGAGCGAGCGCTTGTGTAACGCTCGCTAAAATAGAAAAGCATCTGTGCAGTCCTTCGGGTAGCGGTTCGACGACCGCGTCAGTGCACGAGACTCTTTATTTAAAGATGCGTCTTCAGGTTTCCCGCCTTTAAATATTCCATCTCCACTGGCGTTACTCAAAGACGTCAAATAGAAGTACCTAGCTAGTAACTAGCATTAAATTAGTTGTTAATTAATAATTTCGGCCCCAGCTTAATGCTATCGAGAATGCTATGCTTAATGTTATCTTAGTGCGACTTGAATAATTAACGTGCAATTCATTGTATAAATTGTAGAGCAGACGGGAGACTTATTAACCTAAAGTTTTAAAAGTTAATTCAAAGACGAGTTAAAAGTCGATATAACTAAACTGCGTCAATTTATTGTTGTATTTACCATATTTTTTTAACAATTAAAAGTAACACTTTACGAAGTATTATAAAGGATAATATTCATAAATAAAACAGAGAACGTTGTGAATGTGTCGGAATCATTTAATAAAAATACATATATATGGATTTTAAATTTGGTGTCGTTTTATAAGTAAATTTTCTCTCCAAAAAAAAAAAAAACATAAATCTAGTTGAAGATATAGTTTATTTAAAGATGATAGCATAGCATTTTCTTCAAGCGATCCCCATGGATAGGTTTTTTTAATAATGTTTCGATGTAATTATTAAACACTATATAGAAAAACGTTAGTCAATAAATTCAAATGATTAGTTTACTCCTAGGTTAGTGTGCCAGTGGCTCACTTAGGTGAGAAGTTATTTATCCGGTTAAGTATAGACCTAGAGTTTGAGGTATTGAATAAAATATCATAATATTAACTTAAGTCAATAATGTTATAGGTATGGCATATATTCACATTCATTTAATGGTATATGTGTTCCTAGATCGAGA